CCCCCTTGACCTGTCCGTCCTCCCTGGACTGACCTATCCCCTTCCTAACTCCCTACCTACACTCACCTTTCCTGGCCCCATCCCCGCCTCTTCGACCTGTTTGTTTCCTCTCCACCTATCCTCTCCTCTATCCCTCTTCTATCCGCCTCCCACTCTCTCCCTATTTATTTCAAAACCCCCTTCCCCTCCCCCTTTTCTGATGAAGGGTCTAGGCCCGAAACGTCAGCATTTCCACAGCTAGATTGCTGGCGTCTCCTTCTAACCCGAGGATTTTCCTGTACCCTCCATTGGAGAGGATGCGGACCAGGATTTGTTCTGTGAAACACCGTGTTCTGCTATTCTAATGTTATCATTGTATGCATTTAGAAGATTTCACTATCCCAGAGGTCTGTAATTCAAACTAATCCTGGTGGGAACAATCCTGCTGCAAGGAGCTGTAAGCAGTGCTTGAAACAACACTGAATGTCTCTCTGGATCAGTTGTTCATTACAGCGGAGTGGTCCAGAATATTGATGATCCAAGGCATCAAAGGCTCGAATTCGGGGAAGCAAAATCTCAAATCTTTCATCAGCTGTATCAGCACTTTAACTGGGCTGAGAGGAGTTCTCCTCAAACCAATGGACATGACAGATTGCTGCCAAAGTGCTCTGCGTGACTTTGATATGAAACTGAAGCTCTGGATCAATTTTGCCTAGGTTGGGTGGATTGTGCTGATGAGGATTTTGACAGTGGTATCGGGTGAGTTGAACTCAAAACCAGTCTCATTGATCGTAATGAGAATCTAGGAGGGTTTCCACCACTTTGTTACCCAGAGCAGCAACAGCTTCCAAAGTTGGTAAGATCTTTAGGATGACGACATGGTCAGTGACTTTATGACCACCATCTTCATCTTTGACTGCAACAGATCAAGAAAAAGACTCACCACTACCACCATCTTGTGGGCAACTAGATCTAGGCAATAATTCTGACTTTACCAGTGACACAGATGACCTGAGAATTAAAATGTTCTTTATTCAGCTGAGCAATAATTGATTACAGTTGAATGCTATGAGAAAACCCTAAGTTTCGAATGTATGGTCAATTAATATGTTTATTCATATAGAATAGTAGTGGACTTGACACGTTCGACCACTACACAGAGTCCAAGTTATATCCTATCAACAAGCACAACCAGAATATTTATAGTTGCAGCAGTGTCATAGGAGTTGCCAAATCTAAACGCAAATCTCTATTTGTGCAAGGGAAAAAAAAGTAGAAGCATCTATACCTGAACATTTAGCAACAAATTTAAAGATCCAATAACAGAAGTCAGCAAGTATCTCACTACCTGCAGATTCCATTCAGGCAGTGTGTCTCCCAACTTTTCCCCATTGTAGTCAAGTGCAGGTTGGAAGCTAATTGCTCACTGAAGCAGGGTTGCTGGAAGATTTAATAGACGATATGAAATCTGGTGTCTAGCTCTCCCCTTCCAAGGGATTCTGTGACTTCAGAGGTCATCAGCATTCACAATCACATACAAATTTTAAATTGACCTTTTTGGATATTTTATGATACAGTGGTGTGCAAGTTAAACTTGAACCTGGACCTTCTGGTCCAGAGATAAAGACACTACTACTGTACCACAAGACCCTTAAACAGTGTACTTGTTTTATTTTAATGGTCTGTTGCAAACCATTTTTTAAAAAAAAAAGTTGGCATAATTTCCTAATAGTTTTCTGGCTGTAATTCATTTGCTTTAACTCTTCTTGGAGTAATGAAGTTCTCTTTCTTTAAATGTTTTACTTCGTTCTCCTCTGGTACTTGGTTTCAGAGCTTATTTGAAGTACTTGTATATTTTGAGATCCTCTTTTCCAATCATTTTAAGAAAATGTCACATTCAAGTTAACTTCAATGATTTTTTTCTGCTAGATTATCCCATTTGTACTTCGCAATTGTATTTTCACTCTACTTGAAAATGCTACTCTTAAAATCTTCTTGGAGTTTATCATTGAGTATCATTTGTCATGATCAGTATCATTAGCATGTGCCCATTATACTCTAAATCTCACGTTTGACTATTATATGCAAATATCTCTTCAAAATAATCAAAATCATTGCCTTGTTTTTAAAGGACGTGAGTACACCATTCCATCTCTGATGCATCGGTTCCTTGCAGAAATGGTGGATTTTCTGATACTGTTCCTGCTAAAAGCTATTGTGGTGCTAACAGTGATGCACATCTGTGGGATCAAGTAAGTAACAACAATTTAACTGAAACCATTCATTGCTTGGCTTTAGTATATAAATTTGTTATAAAACAGCAAATCATAATGGAAATAATATCTTGTAGGTTGAGTTGTCATTGATAAATGTAAGCTAGCAATGAAATAATCAATGTAAAATTGTCACTTTTTATAATGATGTTGTTTGTATTGGACTTAATTGCAGTTTAATTAATCTGACTTAGTGGCCACCATAAGATGATCTCCTGGTCTCGGTTCTGAATAGAGATAAGGAAACAAATTGCTTCACTAGCTGTTGGAACGGCATATGTTCAGTATGTTCGGTTTGATCTGTCCAAGTGTTCTGTAGTTAATTGCTAGTTTCAGCAATCATGCAAATAGTTTCAGCTGGTATAACACATGTCCAAGGAAAACTCTATGCAGAAACATTGGGGACACTTCTCCCTCATATTTTTCAAATGTGTTTTAATTTGTGCGTTTTCTAATTTTGAGGGTGGGGAGGGGAGAAGTCTAAGTTGATGAATTGTGCATTTGGTTTCTATAACAGAACTGCAACTTGATTGAGGGCACCATAAGTTCATAAATGATGCAAGTGAAACTGGGATGGTTACATTTACTGTTGAATTCATGTAACTTGTTTAAACTAGTGACCAAGAGAATACATAAGCAGAAACATCTTGCAACAGCACACAGATATCAGTTAAGCCACCAGCAATAATAATGAATTTTTGTCATAGTAAATCAATCTTAAAAGCTGGACAGAAGTATATACAGGATTGTAAGGTACTCTGCGTGTGATGATGTATAGTTCTGCTATTGACATAGTATTTAATTATCTATGGGATTCTGCCTGATGTAGTATGTTACAATCTTTAGTGTTCTGTGCAACACTGTAGCAGGTAGCTTTCATTCAGTTATGTATAGTAAGATAACATAGCAAGATTTTTCAACTGGGGATCCAAACCCTCTAGGCATCTGCAAGAAAGCTTTAAGGGTTTGGTCAAATTGATTCATTCAAGAATGAAATAATTATAAAAATCTCGTTTAGCAAGCTGAGTCCACAAATTAAGAGTAAAACTAATCAATGCTGATGCCCATGGTACCCCATTTATTAACAATAAGGAAACCACAGCATTTTTTCATTCATACCCACCTCCAAAAGAAAATTTAGTTTAGTTCACCAGTGCGTGCTTGGGACAATGTGGCACTGATCATATTTGAGAGGAGGAGATCTCCTGGATTGTTCCAGGCTGGCTTTGCAGCTTCACACTCCTGCTGCCATGTTTAAATCTGTTATGCAGAGCAACAGGTCCAGTGATGTCCACTTCATGGTTTAAATGATCTGAGAATTAAATCACAAGGTCAGTGATTGTTGGGTTGATTTTACCTTGTGCTCTTCACATGGCTGACTGCTATTTGTTAGAGACCACTGTTTGAGTTTTACATGAGGTGGGTGCTCAAACAGTGTGGACCAATGAGCTCATGGTTCCATGTCCCAGGGCATTTTATACACAAGATGTAGATGGCCATGAACAACAACTCTTCGTAGTGAAACATGAGCCTAGAGCTCAGATGCACATTGTATAAGATGATCCATCTGATTATTGTGAGGTCTCACTATCTATAAATTTGTCACTGGTTTATACCATGTGTTAGCAATTGCTGTTTTAAAAATTGGGTGCAATATGTTATGGGGAGTCCACAGATTTTTGTTTTTTAATATCACTACGGACAAGGAACTTGATCAAAAGTGTTGAGACTCCTGATCCATTGTGTTGTCCGATGGGATTTTGATGCTCACCAAATGTTTGGTGATCAGAAATGTAATTGCCACGAAATACAAAATATGGATAATGTTAATTTGAAAAAAAAAAGTACAGACATTTAAAATAGGTTTGAAATTTTAAAGTGCCACCAATCACTGACGGAACCAGGCGACCAGCTTCAAAGAGGGTTTTGCAATCCAAATGTTAAACAGAGCAAACCTGTTTTCTAATCAAATTGTTTCAGACTTGTTATGATGCACGTATAAAGCAAATGAGACTTGAACCCAGGCCTCCTGGCTGAGACACCTCCATGCCCACAAAAATATCTTAAATGACAATGCATTTAGATAATGTGGGTTATAGGGGGAATGGGCCTGGGTGGGATGTCGAGGGTCAGTGTGGACTTGTTGGGCCGAAGGGCCTGTTTCCACACTGTAGGGATTCTGTTCTATTCTATTTTTATGATTCCCAGAAAGACAGGAAGTGAAGGTGACATAGTTTCATTAAACTCGTAGAAACCAAACAACTGAGAAACATAGTTGGAGTCGGATCGATTTGGGATTTCTTTCTGGCAACAACGTGGGATACTACCACTGTGCCACGAGAGCGCACAAACCTGTTGTATACACACTCCAAGGGTGGCGACAATCTGTTGACTGATATGTTAACTGATAAATTAAGAGACATGGGGAGGCAAAAGAATCACCAAGTCTTTACCTGTTGGTTTCTGCACTCTTTACACTTGCCCTTGCATATGTGTTTTTGCCTGTCATTACTAGACACAACTTCGAACAATTAGTGGACCTATAGCTTGTGGGCATACTCCTCCAGTCTCTCCTTTTATGCCAATAGTACTCCAATCTTTTCAGTTACTTATTTCAACAGATCTTTGAGGGTAGCCAAAGCACATTTAGAGCTTGCTGTATCGCCAGCTTTCCAAAATTTAATATTTCAACCCTCATTGTTAGCTTTGCAGCACTGTCTGTCACTAATGAACATAAACTGTTTTGTAAAAACCTCTAAATGCCAGCTGAATAGAGCTGACCTTTCTGGTTAGCATTCCCAAAGTCACTAGCGTCCCCAAGAAAACTTAAAGAGCAACACCACTGTCCTTTCAAAGGCTGGCCCTGCTTTGTGTTTTTCTGTTGCCTGAACTCCTCAAGAGTAGTGATAACAAAACATAGAACAGTACAGCGTAGGAACAGACCCCTTCAGCCCATCATGCCTGCACTGACCATGATGCCATTCTAACTTGATCCCATTTGCTTGCATATGGTCTGCTTATGTTCCTGTCTTAAAAATTAAACTGGATTATTAATCCAAATCCCTGGGGCTAATGCTTTTGGGGCCAGATTCAAATTCCACTCCTCCATTTGGTGAAAAAGATAATTCAAATTAACAAATCTGAAATTGAAAGCTATTCTTAATAATGGTGCCATGAATCTACCATCAATTATTAGAAAAACCTATCCAGCTCACTAACGACCTTTAGGGAAGGACGTTGACTATTCTTATCTGGTCTCCCCTGCGTGTGACTTTAGACCCAGAACAATGTGGTGACTTTAAACTGCCAGTTTAAATGGGTTTAGCAAACTGTTCAGTTATATGAAATTGCTGCAAATGTCAAATGGACTGCAGTGATTCACAAAGGTGATTCGCCATCATCTTCTCAAAGGTAGTTGGAGATGGGCAACCAATTTTGGCCTTGCCAGCAACCTTCATATCCCATGAAAATATCTTAAATCTTATGAAACTATCATTATTAGTTCCCAGGAATACGGGGAGTGAAGGTGTCATTGTTTAATTGAGCTTGTGGTCTGTCTGCTTCTAAGTCACTAGAAATCAAACAACTCAAACATAATTGTAATCTGATCAATTTGGAATTGGTCTGTGAACAACATGATTGACTCTTCATTGCTCAATTAGGAATGCACAACAAAAGTAGTCTGGCAAGTGATACCCGTTCTCATACCCGTCATTGCATCTTTAACACAACTTAGCAAAGAGCATCAATTTTTCACATCTCTGGCCAATTCACTGGCATTTTGGTGATCTGTTGAAGTCTGCTTGGTGTTGTAACGTGCTATTCTATAAGACCTCTTTTGGAGCTGTGGCAAGTCTGGTCTTTTGACAACTGAGGGTGGCACAATGGCTCAATGTTAGCACTGCTGCCTCATAGTGCCAGTGACCTGGGTTCAGTTCCACCCTCTGGCGACTGTGCAAGCTCCACACAGACATGGGGAGAATGTCTGTGTGGGTTTCCTTTGGGTGCTCGGATTTTCTCCCAAGAGTACAGATGTGCAGGTTAGGTGGATTGGCCGTGCCAAATTGTTCAAGGATGTGCAGGCTAAGTGGATTAGCTATGGGAAATGTAGGATTACAGGGATGGAGTAGGTCTGGGTAGGATGCTGTTTGGAGGGTCAGTGTGGACTCAATGAGCCGAATGACCTACTTCCACAAAGTAGGGATCCTACAATTCTACAATTGTTTCTTGTTAAAGAAATTGAATTATCCATTTATTTGAATAAAGAATTATAGATAAAACTCAGCCATTTTCAGCTCAATTATTTAAATTAACTGAATTTGAATTAAACACCTTAGTTTTAAGAGGAGCCAATGTCATTGGGCATATTTTGTTAAATAAGTGATAAAATAAATTAGGGTGTCCTGTAAGTATCACTAAGTTGTCAACATCTATAATATTACGTTATGAAAACAGAAGATGCTGGCAAAAACTCGAGTTTAGCAGCATCCATGGACAGACAGTGTGTTACAGCCTAGAAGGTTAATTTTGTGTCTTTCCACGTGCTGCCTGATCTGCGTATTTTTCAGTATTTTCTGTTTTTGTTTCAGAATTCTAGCAACTGCCGTATTTTGCTTTCGTATATGTTCTCCACTGCAAAGCAGTGATTAACAGCCTAATATAAATTATTATAGATTACCAAAAATTTTAATGTTGCATGTGCAGATAATTGTAGGCAGATCAACATATATTATTCCTGGTTTATAATTTCAATCAATAAATTGTATACAATGTTATGGAAAATGTTTTATGGAGCGTGAAAATATTGAGTTGGATTTTTAGCACTATTGGAAATGGGAATCTTTGTCTGAGGAATGTTTTTACCCAACAATTAGAAAAGCAGATGTACTCCACTTCTGTTGAACACCATTTGTGAAACTACAACTGTTTATGGTCCTACGTCTTGCTGTGTTTTGATATGCAGGGATCTTTCTAAATTTGCTCTGAATTATATAATTGAAGAAATTGATGAAGACACTTCTCTAGAAGATCTTCAGAAAATGATGGCTGTAGCACTGATGTACAGACTCTTGGTCTGTTTTTATGAGGTAAGAGGTTCATTAGAATCTTGAAATTCTGGTACTTGAGAATGATAAACTGATAAATGAGCTATGAGAAGTAAAATGAATTGAAGTTGTCTGATTGCTGAGGTAGCAGTGGAAAAAACTTGTGATTTTGATTTAATTGCTGTTACAGAAATATGGTTGGAAAGTCATCAAGTTTGCGGACCACAGCATTTCATAAGGACTGACAGAATGGCAGAGGAGACAATTTAACAGTATGACTTTGCCTTTGCTGAGGAGAGATGCATGGACTGTGTTTTTGTTTTTAAAAAAAAAAAATCTTGGCACAGGAGATTCAGGAAGTAGAATTGTATGGATGGGCAATAGGGATTAAACACATGCCCCACACAAGTGCCAGACGAAGACTGTCTCCAACAAAAGAAAATCTCCTCTGTTAGATCTCCTATTTTCAATGAGAGTCTGAGTTGCGGGGCGGAATCAAGTGACGTTTATTTGTGATTTACAGCTCAGTTATAGCATACAGCATAAAGGCATGAAGGCACTCAAAACTTTTATACAATTTTAACTTGCAGCGCTCATGCCGCACCCCACCCCCCCACCTTGATTACTATTGGTCAGTGGAGCAGAGTTGTCCAATTGTAATTGGCTCTCAGCTTGCTAATCACTGAGATGGACAGGCTTGTTGTCCACCCTCCCTGGTCATGATGTTATAGATTTTCTTTTCTTATCTTTTCACAATGGTTACATTTGCCAACTTCACAGTGTTAATTGCCAGTTAATTAGATCAGGAACTTTTAAATTTCTCATTATAAGGAATACAAGAGATGCAATGATGGGGTGCAGAGGGGGGAAGCATTTTTACTGTATGCTTCTAGTGTTTTTTTAGTATATTACAGATTAATTAAATAATTCAAGAGAAACAACTAATTTTGCAACTTTGACTTGTCAGCTGCTATAGACAGCTATTGTTATCAAATGTTATATGTTATCATCTATGTTCTTGCAAGAATGATTGCACATTCAGCAACCTTGAAAACTGTCACTCAGCAATAGTTATGGGCAGTTCTAACAGCCATTTTGTGACTCAGTTATGGGCAGTCCTAAAATCCTCTTAATGTTCAGTGCATAACCATGCTGGATCTCCTAATATCAACATCCTGAAGGCTACCGTTAATTGGAAACCTACTGGTCCAGCCGTCTAATTACTATGGCTACAAGAGCAGGTCAGAAGGTGAGAATTCTGCAGCAAGGAATTCATTTCTAACACAGTAAAGCATGTCTACCATCTACAAGGCGCAAGTCAGGCGTATGATGGAATACTGTCCACTTGCCTGGATGAGTACCATTCCAACAACACTCGAGCTTAATACCATTAAGTACAAAACAGCCTGCTTGCTATCCCACCCACCATCTTCAACATTCACTCGCTCCACCACTGAAACATAGTGACAGCAATGTGTACTACCTGGAAAATGCACCACAGCAATGTAGTAAGCCTCCTTTAATAGCACCTTCCAAATCTGTGACCTCTACCACTTACAAGGAAGAGGAGCAGATACATTGCAATACCTTTCACAGCAACATTCCATCCAGGCCACACATCAGCCTGATGCAAGTCCATATTACTGTTCCTTCACTGTCCACCAGGTCAAAACCCTGGAAATCTTTCTGACAGCACTTTGCATGTGTCTACCCGGCATGGACTGAAGCAGTTCAAGTTGGTGGATGGCTACTCTGTTCTCAATGCATTTGGGGATGGGCAGCAAATGTTAGCCTAGCAAATATCACCCACATCCTGTGAAAGAACTAAAAGAAGGAAATTGCGTGGCTATTTGAGGGAAATACGTTTGCAGGGATAGGGGAAATGGAACTGACTGGATTACTATACAGAATCAGAATGGACTTCATGGACTAAATGTTTCCTCTTTGAAATATATGTGACTCTGATTTAATTTTGTCATCTTAATTTCCAGATTGTCTGCCTTTGGGGAGTTGGAGGGGCCACACCTGGCAAGTTTCTGCTTGGGTTACGAGTTGTGTCTTGCGACAGCTCGGTGCTTGTTGCTCCTAATCGGGTATTGGTGATTCCAGCACAGAATGTCAGCATCTCATCGTAAGTGACGTTAGTGATTCCGACGAAACAACAGTTTCTAATGTGTATGCATGTGAGCAAATGTATTGTTTTGCAAAGGTATGGGGGTTACCTTGATTCAGCTGCTGCCTTGCATCCGTACTTTTTTTTTAAATAACATTATTTTAGTTACACTATTGGATAGCACAGAACTTGTATGTGCCTCCACTCGGGCAATTAAAAACAAGATTATTTAATCCCTGTCGAGCGGTTTTATACGTTCGTAACCTGCTTTAATTTATTTGGAAGGGGTTGGTGGTCTGTGCGTGTGATAACTTAAGAGAACTAACTTTGTGATGGATTAAGAATGTACTTGCCCCCTGCCAATGGATAAGGCCATGGTAGATGTTTGAGGACCGGTGTGCAGCTCCTTGACTGGTTTCTCAGAGGCAGATAGCTGGAACGAGGAGATAAAGCAGAAAGGAATCAAAAGTTATGTTGATGGGATCAATTAAGTAAGTTTGTAGGAGGCTTGTGTGGGAAGCAGGTGTGTTGAGATGCATGGCTATTTCTGTGTTCCTTAATCCTGGGCAAGTCCGACAAAGGATGGTAAGCAAAATCCATCCACTCTTTCACTCTCGTGGTGTGCCTGAAGTTTTTAATTTAATGCAGTTCAGTGTCTCTAACAATAACCAGTTAGCTTGACTAATGTGGCACATGTTTTTAAAATGCAAAATATGTGTTCATTTCTGGGGGAGGCTTAGCTTAAGGTTTTGACTTGTGGGATACATACCTGCGGTATGTTGTACAGAATACAGTTCTGTGATTTATTTTAACCAATGGTAGACTGAATTTTGTACTGTAATTTGATCACATGCAAGCTTGTAAGTTTCTCTTTGCACTTGGTGCACTCTTTTTTTTTTTGTTTGAATTTTGAACATTAGTGGTGAGATTTATACAAACTAAATTTTAGGCTGCATGTTGTCGAAGCTCAGTATTACACAACTATATGGCCTACAAAAGGAATAAGCATCCTTTTAATAATGCATTACAATTTGGATTAAACTTGTTCAGTTGGACTCAGTCAGTATCAAAGGAACTGAGAATTATAAAATTTCATGTCCTGAGCTTCACATCAAAAATTTGATGGTAGGGCACAGTGTCACTCAGAGGAAGCATATCCAATGAAACTAATGAGGGAAAATCTCATCAGGTACACTGTCAGCAGATAAATTCCCAATATGTGCTCTGGTGTGTTTAAGTTGCAAATGCACAACCATGTTTGCTGTCAGCTATTAAAAAGAAACTTCCAATTATTTTTGTGTTGGAATATATATAAAGTGCTTCATTATTTTGGATGAATCCAAAACTAGGTTCTTGGTATATGATCATTAATAACACAAGGAAATTCACAAGAAATTCCACCCTAAGTATGAGTAAAATATGGAATTCACTACCCAGGAAGTGATTTGAGACAAACTGCAAAGATGCCTCTTGATTTGAGGCTCGTTAACCACATGGAGGAGAATAGAATAGAATAGAGGGTTATGGAGCAGAATAATGTCAGAACAAACCAGATAGCTGAATAACCTGTTGTTGTGCTGTAAGTTCTATGCAGTGTGTAATGCACTGGTGCATGGATAGAGTTATAGTCATACAGCACAGAAACAGATCCTTCAGTCCAACCGGTCCAAGTTGAACGTAATCCCAAACTAAGCTAGTCCCACCTGCCTGCTCCCAGCCCATATCCATCCAAACGCTCCCTATTCATGTAATTATCCAAATATCTTTTTAAAGTTGTAATTGTGCTCGCATCCACCACTTCCTCAGGAAGCTCATTCCACACGTGAACCACCCTCTGCAAAAAATTTGCCCCATGTCTTTTTTTTTTTTAAATCTTTCTCCTCTCGCCTTTAAAATGTGCCCCTTAGTTTGGAAATCCCCCATCCTAGGGAAAAGACAACTGCCATTAACACTATCTGTATCCCTCATTATTTTATAATCGGTCGCCTCTCAACCTCATACACTCCAGTCAAAAAAGTCCCAACCTATCCAGCCTTTCTTTCTAACTCAAACTTTCCATACCTGGCAACATCCTGGTAAATCTCTTCTGAACCCTTTACAGTCTAATAATAACCTTCCTGTAACTGGGCAACCAGAACTGGACGCAGTATTCCAGAAGAGGCCCCACCAATGTCCAGTACAATCTCAACCTGACTTCATAGCTCCTATACTCAAAGGACTGAGCAAAGAAGGCAAGCATGACAAACGCCTTTTTAACCACCCTGTCTATATGCAAGGCAAGCTTCAAAGAATTATGTTCCTGCACCCCTAAGTCCCTCTGTTATACAACACTACCCAAGGCCCTACCATTAATTGTATATGCCCTACCCTTATTTGTTGTGCCAAAATGTAATACTTTGTACTTATCCAGATTGAACTCTATTTGGCATTTTTCAGCCCATTAACCCATTTGATCAAGATCCCTTTGTAATCTTGAAGTAATTTGTGAATAATGGAATGGATAAACTGCTTAAAACTGCAACAAAAAGGTGTGGAAAGGGCCAAATCTCCTTTCCAGCGGTAATCCATATTTATTGTCTGTTTTCTTTTGTTATTTGTAACAGGTCTTCAATACGAGCATTGATCAAGAATTTTTCAATTGCCTTCTTCTTCCCTGCCTTCGTTACATTGCTTTTCTTTCAACATAATCGTACAGCCTATGATATAGTAGCTGGGACCATTGTGGTAAAGAGAAGTGCAGGAAGGTAAAGACACTATAAATGACTAAGTTTTTTTTTAACTCTGCTCCTCCCATTTGCTAAGTTCTGCATTATTCAAAAGGAGAAGAAAACACCCTTTGCTGTCTGCACTCCAAAGTAACGGATCTTTTGAGAACTGAGTTGAAAATGAATACATGTACAGTAAAGTACCTCCGAGGATTTACAGGAATTGACTTCGTCTTGGGAATGAATCCGTTCCAGTGGTAGACAGTATGGTCTTTAAAATGTGGATCTTGATTGACTCGATGGTTCCACATCAGAAATATGCACAACTTTGAAATTAATGTCTCAAAATCTTCTGCAAAAAAATGCATGGCTACGTTTTAGAAATATCACCTTTAAAGTTTACAGTTGCTGTTTTACTTCAGTCTCCTCATCGTGACACTTCTATTTTCTGTGTGGCTTTGGAAACTTATACAAAGGAAGAGAACTACTTGCAGCCGATCAACTTGGAAACCATAACTAATATGTTGTTATTAGCTGTCAACTTGGCTCCAGAAATGTAACTGGACAAATTTGATTAATGAAGTTTTATGTTATGAAAACCTTCCACTAAATTTTGGAGGGAAAACATTTGAAAAGAGCATACTTTCAAGCCTACATTAGCACATTAAAGATATCAATTGTTTATGAAGTTAATACCTGTTCTGCAATAGTAAATCTATATGCTCAGTATTAGAATTAATTCTATTCAGTTGGATTCCCTAAGATTATGCAGGATTTTTGAAAAACATACTTTGAGTAACATGTTATGACTCTTATGTGCAAATTATATTTTTAAATGGATGTTCTTGCATACTTGTGATTTTGTTTTTCTTTAAAACATTTGTGTTATTCTTTGCATCCACAATGAGTTTTTTTTAATGACTAAATATCTTAGTCCCTGAAACTACCACCTCAATGTAACATGACTTGCTGAAAAAACTCTTCGCTACCAGACATCTTTGTTTTACACAAACTTGTCTTTTATTATGCTGTAATCAATTACAAATTCATACTGAGCTTTCTTGTATACCTATGATACTGAAATTGGTGATCTGTAACACACGGGTAGGCTTCCAGTCAGTTTAAAGTAGTAGGAATCTGCAAGTATCCGGAGGTCCTCTGTCAGATTTTTATTTAATTAAGTGGTCTGACCAAATTATAGTTCATGCTCACCAAATTCCAATTAATTCTGTTAGGCCCTAAATGCTGTGACAAGACAAAATGTACTTTTTTCAGCATTTATGATACCCATTTATTCACTCATTATGGAAGTGTGACTAAGATGTGTTTATGGATATGCATTTAAATAACAAATTATTGAACAATTTGGAGGTATTTTTTGAATTTTTTGTCTTGTGACTTTATTTAGCTAGTTGAGATGCTTTATGTTAAATGATGCAGTTAAACTTTTTTTCAGGGAATACTTAATAGTTGATCAATGAGAATCCTACTTCTCTTTTTTGGCAGAAGAGAGGCACTTCACTTTACCACAGCTCTGACTGTGATTAAAAATGCAGTTGCACTTTTGTGATAATGACCGGTGTGGAATGATGCTACCTGTGGCCACAGTCAGAGCTGTAGTCAATATGAACTGTAAAGCTAGCCCTGCCAGTGGCACAAGTGGTCAGCTGTCTTTACCACAGGCTGTAATACTAGCCTAAGTGAAGGCTTCTTTGCCATGCTGAGGTAGGTTCACAAGCCCTTCATTCAGCTCTGCCTCCACTTTGCCAGTCATCAAATAGAAGATTAATTTTATGGATTCGACCCTACAGTTCTTGCACCAGCCACTTGTTATTACCTAAAGCAGTTTTTTGGAAGATTGAAATGTGTCTGTGTGGAGTTTGCACATTCTCCCCATGTCTGCATCGGTTTTCTCCAGGTACTCTGGTTTCCTCCCACAGTCCAAAGATGTGCAGGCTAGGTGGATTGGCCGTGCTAAATTGCCCGTAGTGTTCAGGGATGTGTAGATTAGGGGTGGGATGCTGTGTGGGTCGGTGTGGACTTGTTGGGCCGAAGGGCCTGTTTCCACACGATAGGCATTCTATGAAATATACACAAGATTTTTAAAAGTTAATGGCTATTTTGTCGTCATATGCAATTATTTGCTGGAGCTCTTGAGGCACAGTAGTAGTGTCTCCACCTCTGGGCCAAAAGGCCCAGGTTCAAGTCCCATTTGGCCCTAAGGTCTGTATAACATGTCTGAACAAGTGGATTCAAAAATGCCATTTTATGCAACCCTTTTCTTATTAAATGGCCATGTTATTTTCAATGTACCCCTTATCTGCATTATATTCCCTCATTTTTGGCAATGCTAAGAATATAGCATTGGGTGTGGCCAACACAATATAGGTCCACTGATGGAATCCGGGTCAGAGACCAGTCTTGATGAAGGGATCCGACCCAAAACATTTAACTTTCCTGCTCCTCTGCTGCCTGATCTGCTGTGTTCCTCCAGCTCCACACTGTATTGACTCTGACTCCAGCAACCGCAGTTCTTGCTGTCTCAGAGGGTCAGAGACGAGATCAACCCAATATTCTTCACCATGCTTCAACTGAGAAAAGCTGACTGAATAAGGAAATATTTTCAAATACTGGTGACAGTGTAGGCTGTGTCTGGGAGCTCAATTGTTATCTAGAAAGATACGGTAATCAACCTTTGCAGAAATAATTTCTATACATTACAATATTAAACTCATAGTTAATGCACATCCTCCTACCACCTTGGATTTAAGTATTATCTCATTTTCAATATTCATACATTATTTCCATAATATTGTACCAAACTACTTGATTTTTCCTGTGATGTAATTTGTTAAAATTTTTTTTGCAAAGAAATCAAATCTTAAAGGACAAATTTGTGGTTTAGTTTTCTTGTTTGATGCAAGCTGGCAGTTTTATTTCAACTGCCATTCTGGTCACTTAACCCTGGTGACTGTTGTGATTTATCAGCATGTGGATTTATAAGATGTAAGCAGTGAAATTCTGTTTCAAGAAATTGGAATATTTCTGGGAGAACTGCCCTCCAGTATTCCCATAACATTGATTCACTGTGTAGCTTTGTCCATGTAATAGTAATAAAACTGTCTGTCTTTCTCACCCCATGTCTAGAGGGAACGGTATATAGGACAATTCCTACCACCAGGTAAAGATCAAAGATCATTTTGGTTATGTAACTTTCAGTTAACTAACACAAATCCACTTGTCCAATTTAACCAGTTGCTGGTTTTACAGTAGGACGGCATACTTTTACATAACGTTCTGATGCACATCAAATGACTTCAGCCAAAATTAATTTTGATGCTGAAAGTGGATTTTTCTGATGCCCTTCCTAACTAAGCTAGAAAACTTTGATGCTGCAGGAGGATAATTTTCCATCTATTACCAGTGTGTTGCCACAATGTGGTCAATATTGCAGGAAAATGAGGTATACTTATCTTTTAGAAGATAGTCAGAAGCTGAAGCTGAAAATGTAATGCCCTTAAGTTTCAATAGATTCAATAATCACTTTGGCAAATTTAAAACCAACATCTCAAATCACAGCTAGTCCTTGTGGAGGTTACATATTTGATTATTGAACAATAACTTCTCTATGAAGAAGGGTCACTGGACCCAAAATGTTGATTCTGCTTTCTCTCAGTTGCTGCCAGACCAGCTGAATTTTTCTAACAATTTGTTTTTGTTTCTGATTTCCGATTTCCAGCTCCACAGTTCTTTGTCTTTTTTTCAAACTAGCTTCTCTTATTGGCTGGCCTGCATAAGCCATATCCTGAACCAGATTACAAGAACTATGGCTGTGAATGTTGTACTGTTGTGATTTGCATGAGTCATAGAGTTGTACAGCATGGGAACAGACCCTTTGGTCCAATTCATCCATGCTGACCAGATATGTTAATCTAGTCCTAGTTGACAGTATTTGGCCCATATCCCTCTAAACCCTTCCTATTTGTGTATCCATTCAAATGCCTGATAAATGTTATAATTTTATCAGCCTCTACCACTTCTCTGGCAGCTCATTCCATACATGCACCACCTTCAGCATGAAAAAGTTGCCCCTTAGGTCCCTCTTAAATCTTTCCCCTCCCAACTTAAACCTATGCCCTCTGGTTTTGGACTCCCCTATGCTAGGATAAAAAAACCATGGCTATTCACCGTATCCATGCCCCTCATGATGTTAAAAACCTCTGTAAGGTTGCTCCTCAGCCTCCTATGTTCCAGGGGAAAATAGCTCCAGCCTATTCAGCCTGTCCCTACAGCTCAAGCCCTGCAACGCTGGCGTCATGCTTGTAAATCTTTTCAAACCCTTGCAAGATTAACAA